TCAAAGTGATCTCAAAGAGACCTAATCATAATACCTTTCAAATTCGTTTATTAATTGGTTATCTTTATTACAAACATTGTTTTACTGATTATCATTAATTGGTTATCTGTATTACAAACATTGTTTTACTGATTATCATTCGGATTTATTTCGTTAATTATCATTAATTAATTTTATTGATTAAATCGTTATTAATTCCTTATTACGAATTTTTTTTTGAAGGGTTTACGGGAAATTTATTTTTTTCCTGTTTGATTAGGTGTCTATAGTCCATCAGTGGGACAGGGGATTGTATGTATATTGCTTGATTGTTCTACCCCTGTTCCCACTCTACCTACCCCCCTGTAGTCTATGAACACCGGCACCTCTCAAGTACCGCATCAGTTTATACTGATGTCGACGGAACAGGACACCGGGGCACTGCCACGGCGCAGTGCCAGGATCGCAGTTCGTGCCCGCCCTGCGGTACCTCCAAGACCCAAGAGATTCAGCAGACGGACGACTCCAGCGGCATCAAGTACGGCATTGATAGTACAAGACACCACCGGAGATTTTCCCGCATGCCCGGTCCGAGAGGCCAGCGAGTCTTGGGCTGACTATCGTGGGCGGCTACAGGCATTTACAGACGCCGTAGCTGCCGCCGAGGCTCAGCAGGCTGCGGCAGAAGCAGAACGTCAGCGGCTGGCCAACGAAGTGACAGCCGAAGCTCAGCGGACAGCTGAGACTGACGAAGCRGCACGAAACAGACGGAATGCCGCCAGCACGGAGTCCCTGATTGCTAGCGAGCATCAGTGGACAACGGTACTCCAAGGCATGATCTTTGTGCCTACGGAAACGCAGGCGGAGCCGACACAGGCGGAGGCAGAGAGAAGTAACCTGGCTACCGTGATGTTGAACGTAAKGAGGGGAGTAATGTGGAACAGCAAACTACTGCAGGCACACCTGCACGCGGAACGACAGCAAAGACAGCAGTACCAGCAAGACCTGGCCGCTGTAACGGTCGACGTCCGCGACACAGCAGTGCAGCAGCAGCAACAGCAACAGCTGATGAACTCTACCAACGGCATTGAGGCCAAGGCCTCAGCAGCGCCAGGCTGCACGACGGATGCGACGAAGCAAGTCAATGAACACATCGATCACGTCGTCACCATCATCGGCGACATAGGTGTTTTCAACGGACCGGACACGATCAGCAGCACGGTGGCCGCCCTCAAGACGGACATCACCAAGCTACAGACGAGACCGGACGCCGCTGCAAAGACATTCAAGATGCCGCACTTCGACATCTGCAAGTTCRAYGACTACAACAAGTCGGACGCTTTGACATGGTGGCAACGTTTCCTCACGGAAGCGTCATGCCGCACTGTCCCGGCGAACGGCATGTTGAAGGCACTCTATTTGCAACTGATTGGAGGAGCGCAGGCATGGATGAACCACCTGGCGGCCACCCACAAGTGCACCATCGCCGAACTCCACACGCACATCACGTGGAAGGAGTTCGAGCAGCTATGGTTCACCCGGTTCATGGTCCGCGACGTCGTGAAGGCAGCCATGAATGAGGTGTACACATGCTCTCAGGGGAACATGCCAACTCGAGACTGGACAACGAAGTGGCAAAAATTAGTGACCACGCCAGGATTCGATTTGAGTTTTCCAAATCAACGATCCGAGTTCTTCTTGCGATCGTGCGCGGGATTGCGGTCGGCACTCGGTAACGAGTACGGCTATACCACATTCCAGGCCATTCTGGATCGAGCGAACTTGGTCATCCAAACGGACGATAAGGCCGCTAACGAGAGACAATCCCAGCCGCATTATGTGGCTAAGCAGGCCTATCAACGTCCG